TATCTATCTATCTATCTATATCTATCTATCTATCTATCTATCTATCTATCTATCTATCTATCTATTATCTATCTATCTATCTATCTATCTATCTATCTATTATCTATCTATCTATCTATATCTATCTATCTATCTATCTATCTATCTATCTATCTATCTATCTATCTATCTATCTATCTATCTATCTATCTATCTATCTATCTATCTATCTATCTATCTATCTATTATCTATCTATCTATCTATATCTATCTATCTATCTATCTATCTATCTATCTATCTATCTATCTATCTATCTATCTATCTATCTATCTATCTATCTATCTATCTATCTATCTATCTATCTATCTATCTATCTATCTATCTATCTATTATCTATCTATCTATCTATCTATCTATCTATCTATCTATCTATCTATCTATCTATCTATCTATCTATCTATCTATCTATCTATCTATCTATCTATCTATCTATCTATCTATCTATCTATCTATCTATCTATCTATCTATCTATCTATTATATCTATCTATCTATCTATCTATCTATCTATCTATCTATCTATCTATCTATCTATCTATCTATCTATCTATCTATTATCTATCTATCTATCTATCTATCTATCTATCTATCTATCTATCTATCTATCTTATCTATCTATCTATCTATCTATCTATCTATCTATTATCTATCTATCTATCTATCTATCTATCTATCTATCTATCTATCTATCTATCTATCTATCTATCTATCTATCTATCTATCTATCTATCTATCTATCTATCTATCTATCTATCTATCTATTATCTATCTATTATCTATCTATCTATCTATTATCTATCTATTATCTATCTATTATCTATCTATCTATCTATCTATCTATCTATCTATCTATCTATCTATCTATCTATCTATCTATCTATCTATCTATCTATCTATCTATCTATCTATTATCTATCTATCTATCTATCTATCTATCTATCTATCTATCTATCTATCTATCTATCTATCTCTATCTATCTATCTATCTATCTATCTATCTATCTATCTATCTATCTAAATGAATCTATTTTAGTGAATGATTTGATCAGACATAACTTGTGTAAAACGTTTCCCTTGTTTCAGATACTTTTCTTGTGTCTCTCATGTGTTGTGAGTCTGTTCGGTGTCGGTGTCCCCCAGGAAGGTACAGATAAAGTTATAATAAAATCTTCTGCAGCTCAGTATAGCTATGAAAACCATCACATTGCCATCACTGTAATCAATAATCATCACTTAGCTGGTAGGGGCGTCTCTGCAGGGAGGGGTGTGAGGAGGTTCAGCAGCTGTGATCTGTCTTTCTATGAATGTGTCCCCCTCTGTAATTATGTCTCTAGGTGACAACGTCCTCTGTGTATGGATACAACTACTGTATACTGATAGACAGAGCCAGGTAAGGATGGAGGGAGGGGGAGGATGACGGGAGGGGGAGCGCAGTCTGGCACATGCTAATACAATCCTTTTCTCTGATCTGATTATACAGATGGCGCACCATTGACATCCCTATGAGAGTATAAAAAAAGTCTACAGAAAATGACATTTCTGATCAATCTGATACTATTAACCAGTTATGCTCCAGATCCATTTCACATTTCAGCTTTGGGTCCATTAATCCAACAAAAAAATTGATTGGTTATGATAGAGAAGTGAGACATTTAGTTATGGGGGGTGCAATGCTTTAGCTTGGTGATATTGTCTCGCAAGAGTGATCTAATTATAATAGTGAGTCCTGAAGCAATCTGATAGCCATTGGATTTGACATTAGCCCAAAATTTGTCCAATACTTTTGAATAACTTCCATCCTATTAATCAGAAGTCATGGACATCCGCCCAACATTCGCCTAGTGCAGGGGTAGGCAACCTGCGGCTCTCTGGCTTTTGTGGAACTACATTTCCCATGAGACATTGCAAAATTGACAGTTACAGACAGCAAATTTGATCCATATGGTGTAACATTCACCCCAAAGGATGAATGTTAACTTCCCTTCACTTTCACCTGCCATTTCACCAGCCAGTCTGAAAATAAAAATGGTCAGGTTGAGTTGTTAAATCTTTGCATTTCTTTTACTAAAAGGGGAGCGCTGAACCAATGTTAGCAGTGATGTTATAAGGAACATGGAGGAGACACAATTCTCTGCTGCATTTTAACCCTGTTTTTGTTTAAACCATACACATGTAGCACCCTCTAGTGTGCTACTAGAACAGTGTAGTATATTGTAGGTAAAATCATTGTGTATGACTCCTGGTAACTGTGTGAGTCTGTGATTGAGGTTGGGTTATTGCAGGTCAGATGGATGACTCAACAGGTTGTGGCTCTATCACCTCCTCCTGACTCTAAAGGACCATAGAAGCTTCCAGAAGTCAGTAAGCAGGAAGGGGTGGAGACCTGATCTGCATGTTCATGGGAGTCCGGTTCATGGAGACCTGATCTGCATGTTCATGGGAGTCCGTCCAATCCCAGGTTTGGAGGCCCTGGTAGAATGGTGGACTGGCCCATAAATATGGGAGTCGGGTGGAAGATGCAGTGCTGAGGAGACTGTCAGTAACTGGGAGGGGACCCCTATGTCTAGGGGGGTGGCCTCCAGGCTGGGCTCGGGCTGGCTCAGGAGGATACATTCAGCAATGAGGTGTGAATGGGATCAAGGCCTGGAGCAGCAGGTAGCAAGGAGGACAGTATAAGTACAGCTGCATACTTTGGGATCGACAAGGGGAAGACTGCCATACGTAGTGAGCTTTTCAAGGACAGCGCTCAATCCTTTATCCTTGTCCTAGGAGATCTTTCAAGAAGACAGGAGGGCTGGTAGTGTCAGCAGGCTGTGGAGCTGGGAGCAGTTCTACAAGGGGAGAGGAGACATCATTGCATGTAGCTACAAGACGTAAAGCTGATTTTTGAGCAGCTGTGCCTCGCCCATAAAGGACAGCTACTACTGATCCGCAACAACGAGTGGCTTTCAGCAAAAGAGTACTCCAGGATTTGCCTTTGTACATAGGAAGGAAGTTCCATTGATTCAAGCCAAATTGGGCATCCCATAATCCCTATTTCCCTATCCAAGTTGATTTCCCCTAATAAAACAATAAAACCAAACCGATGGACTGGTCATTGTCTTTGGATGCAAGTCTGTGTGAGAAATACCTGTTGCCTGGCTGTGTGGAGAGAGGCTTAGGGATACCCACTACTACTACTCAGCGGTCCTCATGAGGGTAGCTCTACACACTTGATAAAACTAGAAATTTTGGCCTGAAGTATACTTTTAACCCCTGTACATTATATAGTTTCTGAATGCAGAGGACCTGTAGCAGTGTTGTAACAAAAGGCATAGCGGCAAAAAAGCAATAAAACGCAAATTATAAATTCATTGTTTTCCAAAAAAATCCATCATCAATCATGTTGTCCAGTGATGTAGAGCCATGTCAGTCATGGTGAAAGATGGCCACCAACCTGCTGAAAAAAAGAAACAAGCTCAACAAGTCCATTCCAAATTACTGCTCGTTACAAATGAAAGCTCACAGCCCCTTATCTGAATGTAATTGGTCAATGATGTCACCCAGAACACACTATGATGTCACTGACCAAATATGGTAATTTCCATATTTAGTCAGTGACGTCACCCAGGATATGCACTCCTTTGTTTACATCCAACTGTGGGACTGGAAACTTTCATTCTCAATGAGCAATTGTTGGGAACAAACACTTCATGGGATTAACAGAGGCAAAGATTTGCCAAGGGCACCAACATCCTGTTCACATGGTCAAAGAATAAAAAAAACAAGGCGGACTTTTGAGGTGCCAACAAAACACAATCAATATAAAATCATTAAAATTGTTTTATTTCAACATGCACAAGATCACATGGATAAAAGACAAAAGCAAATATATAGAAGGTCTCCCTCAGATAGTCCCCATAGAGTTATAGACACCAAACATGTCACAAGAATGATACATTCAACTCTTAAAGCGACATTGCAATGATGGGTTCAACTCTTAGACCAATGTTTCTCAACCTTTTTACAGTCAAGACACCCTTTAAAGTAATGAACAATCTTGAGGCACCCTTTAAAATTATGGACTCAAGGCACCCCATTCTAAAATATAAATAACTATTCTAATAGTTTTACCTGCAGCAACATCCACACATGTAGGGCACCCAATGTTACAAGGGATTTATTCTTCCATAGCAAACATACTGAATAGTATTCCAATGCTTCTCTTTCATCTCAGTTTTTCTCTATCACTCAGCTATTTCAACCCTAATACTGACAAAGAGTGGCAGAGGAGGGTCAAACAAGGATGCCGTGTAGGTGACCGACATCCTCCATATCAACTGATGTCGTCATTGGTTGTTTGGACGCTGGTGGCTAGAAGGTTGTAATGGTGCACAATGAAAATCTACGGCTTTGTGTAGCTAAAAGGCAGGTTCGATCCACCTGCTGGCTTCTATACAATTTTTGGGCAATTTTGGGCCAAGGCACCCCTGAAAAAACTTCAAGGCACCCCAAGATGCCTGGGCACCGTGGTTGAAAAAGGCTGTCTTAGATTAATGGAATAAATAAGTTGTCTTCCATAGATATCCAATCTCTCTCTATCTCGCGTGTTTCACAGGAGCACCCAACTTCTTCAGGGGTGAGGGGAGCAAGGTGTAACGGACATGTAAGATTTGAGTGGAAATATGGTATCATAGCCATGACAGGTTGAGTAGATTAGATTATGTCAGGCCCTTTCATTGCAAAGGTGTGTGCAGGAACAGTCTGGTCATTAAGGATGTACATTGAGCCCCTGGGCAGTAGGGAAATGAATAGAAGGTACAAACAAATGGTCTGGGATCAGATGTGTATGTATACACAATTACTCCATAGGCCTTACAGACCCAATCATCATTTAGCATCAATTAGTCTAAAGCCAGGTTCCTGGAGGTGACACCCTTTTGTGTGTCAATCAGGTTATCACCTTCTGGGAAAACCAGTGACAGCAGACAGACTGTCTGCCGTATGTGGAAAGCTCTATAAGTAATATTCACATCAAAGAAGTATGTTTAATCTCTTATAAAAGCAAAAATATTAGTTGGAGATATGAACAAGCTTCCTTCTTGTAGGCCATTCTGTACGCTACATTTACATATAAGAATCATATTTGTGGCTTGCGGAGAAAGCCAGGGAAATGCATGGAATGATTAGATGACGTGGGGGTGCGACAGTCGGATGGTGTTTGGTACTGTTGCGATCAGGCTGACGCGCTGGTGTCAGAAATCCAATCCCCGACTTGGTGTTCAGGCCAGTCTCGGCCCAATTGAACTTGGGCAGGTCCATACACAGTACCTCTTGTGGGCAGGTCAGGACCACCTCCCCCAGAGTCAATTGGCCGAAGACTAATGTCCCGCCCATGTCCAAATCGCCATAAATTGAACGCACGGACATTTGGACAGGGTGATCCGTACGGAGCTGGTTCGATTGACCAATGGATTGCTAAGTTTCTGGCTTGCTCCAGCCGCAGGGTAAAGTGTTATTCTGTCTTTTTATTCCCTTTTATTTTATAGTAATTAGTAATTTGTGTGTCTTCTTATATCTTTTGTATTTTCTGTAACTTGTTATATTTTGTACATATTTTATGACCCGCCCACTTTGGGAAATTAAATCTTAAAATTAATTAGTGAACTTCTGTGTATTTAAGCTCGGGCTCATATCTTCGGAGAGACTAGATTGGAGAGATTAGATTGTATTTTAGTGCCTTTAAAAACGCTCGGTTAAGCTCATTGCCAATCTGTATGCAACTGCACTGTGAGTGGGCAGATTGCACGCAGATTGCAAAGGTAACAGATCTGCCGGACGGAGATCTGTGTGTGTGGGGTGTCTCAACAGACTGTTCTGCGGATAAACTGTTGGGTGGTGGCAGGCCACCTTTGTGGTGCGTCTGGTGTGGGGGTGTGTGGACAGTGGAAGGGTTATCAACACCGGGGTTCAAGCTAGGATAGCTGAAGGGACCTTTAGAAGGGTGTGTGATTACTAAGCTGGTCCTCAACTCTAATCAGGGCACCAGGTTGTATGTAAGATCGTATCTGCCAGTGTGTGGTCGACCAGCTGGACTGGAGTGGAGTCTCCATCTGGTGGTGGCCAGAGGTAGTGCGGTTCTGTGAAAAGGTATCACGGCTGATCTTACATACGGTTTGAGATATTTAAGTGTAAATTCCTTTATTATCCCCTCTTTACCACCCTGTCGCGGCCGCACGCGTGCGTCACGGTTAGCTAATTGCTGTAGGCGTGGCGTGTGGTGGACACGTGACAGGGTGATCGTTTAACGAATCCGTGACACAAGGCAGGAAAGTCTGGTACCAAACAAGGGAGGGCACAATTGTATGGTCAAAAGTGTTTGCTATCTGTCCCTGGGGCAGGTGTGTGAGTCGCAATGAAAACCTATGGCTTTGTGTAACTAAAAGGCAAGCTCGATCCACCTGCTGGCTTCTATACAATTTTTAAGCAATTTTGGGCCAAGGCACCCCTGAAAAAATTTCAAGGCATCGTGGTTGAAAAAGGCTGTCTTAGATTAATGGAGTAAATAAGGTGTCTTCCATGTTTAGACAATCTCTCTTTATCTCGCGTGTTTTACAGGAGCACCCAACTTCTTCAGGGGGTGAGGGGAGCAAGGCAGGAAAGTCTGGCACCAAACAAGGGAGGGCACAATTGTATGGTCAAAAGTGTTTGCTATCTGTCTCTGGGGCAGGTGTGGCAGTCAGAACTGTATAGGGGGCGTCAGCAATTATATTGCTGGTGGACAAAACATTCCCATTCGTGGGTGATAGTTAGCAATGCTGCTTCCTGACAATCTTCATAGTATTTAGTATGGCCACAAGTTCCAATGTAGAAAAGATAAAAAGTTCTCTCAGCAGCCAAGAATTTATTAGCAACAAATGATGGAAATAAGGCTGAGCTGAGCTGAATCACATCGTATAACATTCCTGTATCAAACCATTTCACATACAATTTGTCCCGAGTGCTTTGTCCGGCGCCCTGCCTGCATTTTTACTGTTCTTTCTGCCTGGAAACTGAGAAACATCCATAGCGTCCAAAAAGTGTCCCTTTAGGTCAGACGCGGTTTTAGACCGGCTAGAGAACAGCGATAGTAAATCAGAACCACTTGCAGAATTGAGTGATAATGATTGGTGGGGGAAATTCCTCATCAGACACTGAAAACGATTCTGCGACTGAGCTCAGCGATGTGCGAACTTGGCGCTATATTTCACTGTGACGGAGGAAAGGCAGGACAGAACACACAGAGAGGATGGCAGACGCACAAAGCTTTATTGAGACAAACAGATGGCAGTCCTTCAATACGGGGGGTGGCAGAGAGGGTGGATTTGCCACTAAATGGTAACGAGGGTCCCCACCCACTTATAGTCCACTAGGAGAGCCAAGGGGGTGTCCCTGTAACAGGGGTAGTCCGACACAGGAGAGGGGTGCGAGGGGTCACCACCGCAACAGTTCAGGTAACAGTGAGGAAGCAGGTACTCACGGAGAACAAGGGGTTCAGTCCAGGCAGGGGATAGATCCAGGCAGATTCACGGGGACAGCAGAAGATTCCTCCACAGTGCAGGGATTCCAGGCAGCACAGACAGTCAGGAGATGAGGAGGAGGACGGGGGATGAGAGGAGCTGGCGCTCAGCACAGCTTTCCCTCACACACACAGCCAGGAGAACACACACGGGGGTTTCCTTGCTCTCTCTTAAGTATTGAGCTGGTAACCGGATATTTCCTGTCGGGTTACCATGGCAATGGGTCCTGTCCAGAGAGTTCAGGAATTTGGCATGAGGGGGAAGGGAGGAGGGGTCCAGAGTAATTTAATTAGGCCATTAGGCCAGTGACACAGGGGACAATTGGAACAATACAGAGCAGGACTCTGAAGGCTCCCATACCGCGACACTCCTCCCCCTCCTTTTCACAAGTGCCGATAAGGCGGACCCAACCGGGTTCCCTGGAAGGCACTTGTGGGGCCTAGCCTAGCTACTGTGGGTCTTGTTGGCAGGGAAAGGCCATCAGCGTTTTGGTGCTGGCTTCCCCGCCTGTATCGAATGGTAAAATTGTAGGGCTGGAGGGCCAGGCTCCACCTAAGGAGGCGCCCATTGTCCCCGGACACCCGGTTCAGCCATGTGAGGGGGTTGTGGTCAGTGACTATGGTGAACTCCCAGCCGTACAGGTAGGGCTGTAGTTTCTTTAGGGCCCAGACTATGGCCAGACACTCCTTCTCCACTGTAGCATAGGCAACTTCCCGGTCCAGTAGCTTGCGGCTGAGGAAGGCAACGGGGTGTTCCTCCCCAGCCTCGTTGACTTGGCTGAGGACAGCCCCTAGGCCGTAGGTGGAGGCATCTGTCTGTACGAGGAAGCGTCTGTTGTGGTCAGGGGCGGCCAGGACGGGGTTTCTTGCCAGGGCAGATTTGAGGTCACAGAAGGCGGATTCACAGGCCGAGGTCCAGGTCACCATCCGGGGACTGTTTCTTCCGGGTCAGGTCGGTCAGGGGCTGGGCCATGGAGCTGAAATTAGGTACAAATTTACGGTAATAGCCGGCAGTGCCGAGGAATGCCATCACTTGCTTCTTGGTCTGGGGAGTGGGCCAGTCATAAATGGCCTGAACCTTGGCTGGCTCAGGTTTCAGTGTCCCCCCCCCCCTACTCGGTGCCCGAGGTACTGTACCTCCGCCATTCCAAACTGGCACTTGTCTGGTCTCAGTGTCAGCCCGGCCCTGCAGATGCGGTCTAGGATGGCCCCCACGTGGGCCAGGTGCTCCTCCCACGTGTCGCTAAAGATCGCTATGTCATCTAGGTAAGCACACGCGAACTCTTGGCATCCCTCCAGTAGCTGGTCCACGACCCGCTGAAAGGTGGCGGGGGCGTTTTTCATGCCGAAGGGCATGACAAGGAATTCATACAGGCCGAACGGGGTAATGAACGCGGAGCGCTCAACGCCCTCTTTTGTGAGGGTGATTTGCCAGTAGCCCTTGCTGAGGTCTAGGGTGCTCACGTAGCGGGCCCCGGCCAGACGGTCCAGCAGGTCGTCTATGCGGGGCATGGGGTAGGCGTCACTGACAGTGTAGTCATTCAACCTCCGGTAATCCACGCAAAAGCGGGTGGTCCCATCCTTCTTTGGCACGAGCACCACCGGGGAGGCCCAAGGACTGCGGGAGGGTCGGATGATACCCAGCTGGAGCATCTCGGAGAGTTCTGCTCGGATGGCCGCCTTCACGGATTCGGGGACTCTGTATGGGGCCTGCTGGATGGGTTTCTGACTGTGGGTCTCCACGTGGTGGAGCGCTAACCCGGTGCGACCTGGGGTGGCCGAGAAGGCGACGGCCCGGTCCACTATCACGGCCCGCATCTGGGCCGTCTGGCGGGGGTTCAGCCGAGCCCCTGTCGGAATCTGATCTAGGGGAGTGGTGACTTTGGTGGCTTGCAGGAGATCGGGCAGGGCTCCCTCGTCTGCTCCGCCCGTGGAGGCGGGGCAGACAGCGAGCACGGGCAGAGCCCGGTCATGGTACTCCTTCAACATGTTGATGTGGACCGTGCGCTGTTGGCGGTTGCGGGCGTCGAGACCAATGACGTAACTAGTCTCGTCTATCTTGCGGAGGACCTTGTAGGGTCCTTCCCAGATGTGCTGGAGCTTATTCTGGGGGTTGGGGACGATCTTGAGCACCTGCTGCCCTTCAGTGAACTCACGGCCACGTGCCTTGCGGTCGTACCAGACCTTCTGACGTGTCTGGGCTGCCTGAAGGTGGCCGTGGGCCATGGTGGCCAGACGGGTCAGCCTTTCCCGTAGCTCGAGAACGTAGGGAACGATGGGGGTACCCGTGTCCTCTATCTGCCCTTCGCAATGTTCCTGGAGCAGGGATAGGGGACCGCGGACCTTCCGCCCGTACAGGAGTTCGAAGGGGGAGAACCCCGTGGACTCTTGCGGTACCTCCCGATATGCAAACAGCAGGTGTGGAAGGAGCTTCTCCCAGTCCGCCTCCCCATCAACGAAGGACCTCAGCATGCTCTTCAGTGTGCCATTGAAGCGCTCGCAGAGGCCATTGGTTTGGGGGTGATAGGGAGTGGTCCGGATCGCCCTTACCCCGCACGTGCGCCAGAGGGATTGGACCACCTCGGACATGAACTGGGTACCCTGGTCCGTCAGGATCTCGCTGGAAAACCCACCCGGGAGAAAACGGTGACTAGGGCCTCGGCTACTTTGGGGGTGGAGATGCTGGACAGGGGGACAGCCTCGGGGTAGCGGGTAGCGTAATCCACTACCG